ATTTTTATCCAGCACATGTGAATGTGAGACCAGCCTGGTCCAAATCTTCACCACTTCTACTAGTCTGATGAATGGGGTTTCCTTAATTCCGTTGTTGTCAGACTTCCACTCAACTTGATTTCTGATGTTTCTGAGTGATGGCTGTTCTATATTTTAGTCGTAATTTTGATGTCATTTTGAAAGGAAGCAAGCTGTGTTTACCTATGCAACCATCTTGACCAGAATTCATATACATCTCACAAATAAACACGCTCGCACATATGTATGTACATGCACACAGACTCATTTATAATCCCATCTATTATGATGAAAGAAACCTTGAAAGAAATTTAGACAAAATAGAAATAAAAAGAAGAAAGATATGAGTTAACACAAAATAGAAAGAATTAGAAATCTTGACACAAAGATTAAGTAAAACATATGACCTTAACCTTAATGAATAACTTTTTTTCACTTTAAAGCTTCAAAGGCTTCAAGGTAAGGACCACATTTACATTTCTGTAATGGAAAATTCTTTGTACCACCTATGGGGCCAATTAACTCTAAATTAGCTGTAATTTGTTTCTATTTAATGTAGATTTCAACACAAAATACCTTTGCTCAAAGGAAGCTACCTGAATGATTCTGAGGCTTCAACTCAGTTCCTTGAAATGTATTTTATTGGGTCAATGTCTACATTAGTTTCCCATTCCTGTTTTTACAAATTACTACATTAGTGGCTTCAAACAACCAACTTTCTAACTTAGAGTTTTAGTGTTCAGATGCTTTAAATGAGTCTTAAAAAGCTTAGCTCAAAATGTCTGCAGGGCTTGGATTTTTCTGGGTGACCCAGGGGAGAATGCAATGTCTTCCCTTTCCTATTATAGTTTCCAGGGCCCCCTGCACTCCTTGGCCCATGGCCTGTCCTCAGTCCTCAATGTCAACAACAGAGCATCTACAAATGCCTCTCTGACATGAATTCTTCTGCTCCCTTTTACATTTAGAAGACCATTGTGAAGACATTTGACCAACTTGCAAAATCCGAACTAATCTTATTGTATGAAAAATAACTAGTCACTTTATTACATCTCTTAATATAGTTACGATTTTTGGATGGCTAACATATTTCAAAGTTCTCTGAATTAGCTTGTTGACATCTTTTGAGGCTTTTCTTCTGCCTACCACTAAGTCTTTCCAGTACAAATTATTATCTGTCTCTCTGGAGCTCTAATATAAAAAAATTAAACACAGAATTTACCTTCCTCTATGGAATGAGTTGAAAATTTATTTTTCAAAATAACATAAACAGAAGATTCCTGGTGCAGAATACCTAAAATTACCCTCCCCTAACTCTAAGAGAGGGCCATAGCCAGCTTCTCAAACTCTGCTCCTCAGAACAAGAAGATCTGCAGCTTCAACATCATCTGGGAGTTTGTCAGAAATGCAGCCTCTGGGCCCACTGGAGACAAGAATTTGCATTTGACATTCAAACTTTGGTGACTTCCAAAGTGTAGTGACTTGTATGCACAATGAAGTGGACAAGTACTGGTCTACAATAGGTGTTTCCACCTTATCACTGTTGACACTCGGGGCTGGATAATTCTGTGTATTGGGTGCGTTCCTGTGCATTGCAGGTGTTTAGCAGCCAATTCCAAACATCCCCAGGGCCAAAGTCATCTCTGTTTCAGAACCATTGACCCCGAATCTCCAAACTGGAAGTGTTCTGACTGGTTGCAATCAAAACTCCATCCCTTCCTTGGCTCATTCCTTTGACCACAATAATAAATCCCTCTGTGCCCCATTTCTGCATTGCATTGGAGAAAGTAGTTTCTCAATGCACTACTTCATAAGATGCATTTTCTGTGAAACATACACTTGACAGTTGTTACATAGTACTAAGCTGAGCTATGGTGCTTGAAATCTAAATGTATCTCTTATATTTAGTAAACATTTTATGATGAGGAACCAAATAGCAGCTCTTAACTTGTGATATAACTATGAAATTCCTAATCGTTTTGGCTGAACAATCATAAAGCCTAGGAGTATAGTGCCCAAGGTTTTATAGCAAAGTAACAAATATCTCCCCTTCCTAAAGAGGAAAATAGTGATTTTCTAGGGATAACAAGGGTGCATCTCACTGTAACTCAATGCTTTGAAGACCCAAAGACCAGTCAGACAAATTTCTCAGAATAAGACTGATTTTCAATTACAGTTTACTTTTAATATCTTTCTGCATTGGTTACAGGTATTCAGCACAATGGTCAGACAATCATAAACTTTATATACTGTTCTGGCCCCCATGCCCACCATGTCCTGCCTGGTATTTCCAGTACCCAAGTGGCCTCACACATAGTTATTACATATGATGAACTATGCTTCTTATGCTGTGCTTTACATTCCTGAGACTATTCTCTGACTGCCAATTTGTACTTCTAACTCTCTTTACCTTTTTCTCTCAGTCTCTCAAACCACTTCCCCTCTGGCAAGCACAAGCCCACTCTCTGCGTCTATGAGACTGTGCCCATTTTGTTTGTTTGTTTATTTTGTTCTTTAGATTCCACATACAAGTAGAATCATATGGTATTGTCTTTTTCTGACTGGCTTATTTCACTGAGCACGATACCATCCAGGTCCATCGATTCAGAAACTTTAACACAGAGTTGAGATTAGGTGCTGGGAAGTGTAGATAGATGTCAGGAAGCAGGGCAGTTAATGGAGAAGGACTTATCAAAACTGTACTCAGATGGCTTATTACATAGTCTCCTAGGAACAGAGGATCAGCAGGGAAACTCCCCATTCTGTCCATACCAGTGTCCCCAAGGGGAATTCTGTGCCTAGAAGTTAGAGTGCCAAGAAGGAAATGTGCTTAATTAGCAGACCTGGAGAGCTCTAAGTAGCCCCTGAACTGCATGCAGCATCTCAGCATGTGCAACCTTTGGATGGAGAAACGTGGCTGTTGCTCTTGGAGTCCTGAATCTGGCAGGGAGACCATTGGTTGACCACTCCTTGCTGTTTTGTCTGGGACAGTTTCAGTCTCTATCATCAACCACCCAGGGAAGATTTTGGACTCCCTCAGGGAAACCTTCTTGTCAGAGTTCCCATGCAGGTGAGTCTGAGAGCCCAGCAGACATGGCAGGAGAGGATCAGAGATACTAGAAACCAAGAACTCGACCCTGAAATCACCTGAGAACTCTTCCAACATAGCCCAGATAGATACCAGTGATCACTGTGGCTGCTGGCTGGCTTTACTAATAAATGAATGTTTATTCATGATGTGAAAAGGAAAGTGGACATCGTACTCAGAAATGTAGGTGTCTTTGTTGACAACTAGGTGGTTTTAATTGAAGAGATATTAAGAGAGGGAATTGGAGGGGTGTTCCCTCCAGTAGAAGTAGAACATAAGTTCAATGAACAGGAATAGACAGATAGGTTATTAGTTGTGGAGGAACAGACAGTGAAGTGGGGACATTTACAAATTTTATGATGGGGCCTAGTAGACTGTGTCTTTCTATGGATGAGAAAGATGTGGACCAAGGAAGACTGCAAATACACCCTGGCAATAGCAGTGCATGAGACAGGCATTTCACAGCATCTTCTGTCCCTCTGGCTATTGACATGAAAAGGCATTTATTTGGTAGGTGAAAACAAGTGTGTGATGAGATTCAGTTTACAATTATTTCATTACCTGTGAGACTGAGTAAGGAAATGTGTGGGTTTGTAAACTGCTTATGGGTACTACTGAAATTTTTCAGGGAAAATTTTTGCTTTCCATGTGTATTACTTTATCTATTTTAAATTGTTGTTGGACTATAATATTGTAATTTTCAGTATGTTGTGCACCTGAAAGTTCCTTGCTCTTCAATTGAGTTACCAGAGTGTTTTCATTCCTTTTCTGTTTCTTCATTTAAGTACATTTTTAGACAATATGACATCAGTTTCAGGTGTACATACAGTGACTTGCATCTATTCATTGCAATGCAATGATCACACAAATTGTAGTGATCACCTTTCACTGTGCAAGCTTATCACAATATTATTGACTACATTCCCTTAGTTTATTTTTGACACTAACTTTATTTGAGTTCTGATCACCCACTACCATCAGATTAGCCCCTTAGATTATTTTTTGATTGGATTCTTTCTAACAAAAAATTGGAGTTTTTTACACAATCTGTTTGTTTTTCATTTGTTCTTTTATGTATGTGTACATGCATTTTTGTAGAATGTATAAAGTTTACAAATTTTGTGTAGTCCAATCTATCAATCAATGATGCTGTATTCTCTCTATGGCTTTTTCAAAAGACATTTTTAAATTGAAGTATAATTTTTTGGTTTAAGTAATTGATTCATTAAATGTTCTTTTGATCACATAGAAAAAGGTCACATGTAAAGTTTTTGTAGTTCTTGTGCAAAAGAAAAAAATGAAAAGCGAAAAATTCATATAACTTTGAAAACTATAAACACTAATTTGAATACTCTTATGCATAAGAACCAATTAGCATGCAATGTTTGGGAATTAGAATAGACATAAAACATTTTATTAGTTTCAGGTGTACAACATAATATCATATTTTCATATGATACAAAATGATCTCCACGCTAAGTGTGTAGTTAACCTCTGTCACCACACAATGACAACATTTTCCTTTGATAAGGACTTTGAAACTCTCACCTCTAGCAACTTTCAAATACAGGACTCAGTATTATTAGCTTGAGTCACCATGCTGTGCTTTACATCACATCCATTGCCTTTTCACTTTTTCTTCTCTTACTGAAAAAAATTGAGGAATATACAAGAATTCTTCACATGTCCTTACCCAGAGACAGAATTCTAATGAGAAATGGTAGTAGGGATGTCCTAAAGGATACCAGACCACACACCATATATCACATTAATTTCTTGATTCTAAAATATAAATGGTAGTTTTTAAGCTAGGTTACTTATGCTTGCATGAATGAAAATGAGTCATGTACTTTACTTATATCCTGGTAGTCGACTGCAGTGGAAGTTGCAACTGCACATGGAAGCAGTGAATCTTACACAAATTTCAGACTTTCTTCTCCTGGGATTATCAGAGGCACCAGAACTGCAGCCCCTCCTATTTGGTCTGTTCCTCTGCATGTACCTGACCACTGTGTTGGGAAACCTGCTCATCATCCTGGCTGTCAGCTCAGACTCCCACCTCCACACACCCATGTACTTCTTCCTCTCCAACCTGTCCTTGACTGACATCTGTTTCACCTCCACTACCATCCCAAAGATGCTGGTGAACATCCAGACACAGAGCAAAGCCATCACCTATGCAGGCTGCATCACACAGATGTATTTTGTTCTATGCTTTGGTATGTTGGACCACTTCCTCCTCACTGCGATGGCCTATGACCGCTTTGTGGCCATCTGTCACCCCCTACAATACATGGTCATCATGAACCTTCGACTCTGTGGACTGCTGGTGTTGGTGTCCTGGATAACGAGTTCCTTTTATTCCTTGTTACAAAGCTTATTGGTATTACAACTATCCTTCTGTGCAGACTTGGAAATCCCTCACTTTTTCTGTGAAATCAATCAGATGAACCAACTTGCCAGTTCTGACACCTTTCTTAATGACATGTTAATGTATTTTTCAGTTCTTCTACTTGCTGGTGGTCCCCTGGCTGGGATCCTTTACTCTTACTCTAAAATTGTGACCTCCATATGTGCAATCCCATCAGCTCAGGGGAAGTATAAAGCATTTTCCACCTGTGCATCTCACCTCTCAGTTGTCTCCTTATTTTATGGTACAAGCCTAGGAGTGTATCTCAGCTCTGCTGGTACTCACAGCTCACAGTCAAGTGCAGTCACCTCAGTGATGTACACTGTGGTCACACCCATGCTGAACCCCTTCATCTACAGTCTCAGGAACAGAGACATAAAGGGGTCTCTGAGGAGATTAGTTGGGGTGACAGCTTTATAAGGACCATTTGTCCTAGGGCTGAATAAACAAATACCCATGATTGCAGGGCTCAAAGCCTCACAGCCAGATGTTGTGATCAGGTTGTGGAAGTAGAAAATACTCTCTGTTTATTTCCTCAGGTTTGTGTTTCTGGGATTTCAATTTCTCTATAATATTTAAGCCTATCACTTTATTAACTTGTCAAGTTTGTCATATATAGCAGGTTTTCTTTGTCATTTTACTGCTCTCCCAAATTGATTCCCAGGCTTGGATGAGATATTTAGATACTGCCATCTATCTCATGGAGACTACATGAATTTCTTAGGAATAATTTATTTTGAAATGAGATATATCATACTGAATAATTTTACTTTTGTTTCACTGAAAGGAAAATCTTAAGTGGTACTTCTCCTACGGAAGTACACTGCATTTGGTAACCAAAGCCATTTACATCATTTCACAGAAAAGGAAACTAGAAGATCACAGTGTAACACTTCTTGTACATCATTTCTTCATATCCCACTACCATAATATAGCTTGACATAATATGTGCTTAAAGGCAAAGACAACCTTAAGTATGAAGAAGCAAAATTTAAAGTCATACATTGATTACTAGGTAAACTCTTTTTATGGTTTATGTTTACTTATTGATGTATATAAGATCAGTGTCTATGTATAAAAGAATTTAGTCTTGGGGTGAACCATTGGGGTATAATTATGTTTCCTTTGAATGATCTTTGGCCCTCCAGTTGAAAACTTTCATTGATGCTTAAAACTATGATTTTCTCTATTGTTCTAAATGAAGTATCTCCCACTTCTCTAAATATTGTCCTAACCACTGGAGGGTTAGGGAAAGAACTAAATCAATCTCATGCAGTATATATATTATATATGTGATCTATAGATATTCATATATGTACATAAATGGCCAAACAGTGACTCACCAGAGAGCTTGAATTCCTGTCAGTCCTGTGACTCAGAGTCATATGTGTTACCCAAACATACCTGTTTTTCCAAGCTCTCCTGCTTACCTACAAGGGAATCTGATGGAGTCACTTTTCAATGCAGTTTTCTGAAATAAACTTTAGCAGGAATTATTATGAATGCCATCTTCAAATATTGGAACAAAGACCTACAATGACAAGTGGCTGATCATGATATTTTTCTTCAGTTCGGTTCACTCTGATTATTGTTATCAGTTAGCTATTGCTGCATAGTGTCATCCTAGAAGAGAATGATTTAATATAATGCACTTATTATCAGTGGAATTATATAATGGGAAGTTGTTCTGTGTTCTGTCTCCTCACAGTCTGTATTCAGCTGTCAGTCTCTCTATTGTGTTTCTAAGGCTCATTCATGATGCTGTGTGTGGCTGTAGTGCTCTTCTCTGCTGAACCAAGTCATTTCAGTTTATTCCCTTTATACATGCAAGTGAGTCATTAATTTATGGGAAAAATAAATTTATTAAATGATAATTGCTTAATTTAAATTCCGTATTGATGTATAACATTTGCTTTCTTCTTGGTTAGAAGAGATTCTCTCAGCACTTCCAGGGGTGACTCAGCTACCTGTGGTGTAGATGAGACCCTGAGACACGCTCTACTAGAAAGTTTAATTCTTAACTAATTCATGGAGCACAATTAGATACAATGTACAGCATATACAACATGCTGAATTAAGTGAGCAACAGAAGAATTGAGAATTTATACCTCACATCCCCATTTGGGTATACTTTGTAAAGGTGTATAAGTGTTAACTCTTTTGTTATGTTATTGTTAAAAATGTAATCACCTTGAACTAGTTTCTCCATCTCTGGCGGTAATATGAGATAATAAGTTCTAATTACAGATAAATATTGTGCAGAATAAATTAAATATGTTGCAATAGACTATTGAGTTGAAAGGTAAAGTTCAAGTTTAGGAGTGTATGTGTGTACAAGGGTATGTTTTCTTCTCAGATAAGCATGTTCACACACATATATGTACATGCACACAGAATCACATATATTTACATTTATTATGCTAAAGACATCTTGAGAGAAAGTTGGAGGGAATACAAATAAAAATAATGAATGTTTGAGTGAACACAAAATGGAGAGAATGTAGAAATTTTGACTCAAAGATTTAAAAGAGGACTATCATTTTAATAAATAATTTTTCCTATCTTAGATCCTCAAAAGCTTCAAGGTCAGAACATTTAAACTTATTCAATGGGCAATTTTCTGTACCACCCGGTGGGGCAGAGTATCTCCACATGAACTTTAATTTTCATCCTTTATTTGAAGGTGGGATTTTACCACGAAATCACTGTTCCTAAGCAGTGCTCACTGTGGCTTGAGAGGCTTAATAGTCACGGGGATGTTAAGTACAGCATAAGAAATATAGCCAATAACATTTTAACTACTATATGTGTTGTCAGATGGTACTAGATTTATCAGGGTGATCACTCTGTAAGGTATATAAATGTCTAATCACTATGTTGTACACCTGAAACTAACATAATATTGTATGTCAACTCAAACTGAAAATTTTTTCAAATTTTAAATGAGAACCTTAAAATTAATTGTTGCAAGCAATTTAAAAAATTTTTTCAATTACAAATGACAGTCAATATTTTATAATTTATTTTTATTATGTTTATCCATCTTCAATGCCAGCAGCAGAGCTTCTTCAACTGCCTTTCTGACACCAATTCTTCAGCTCCTTTCCACATTTAGAGGAGCACTGTGATCTCATTTGACCAACCTGTGTAATTCGAGGTAGTCTCTTGTCTCCTTGTTGTATGACAAGTGACTAATAACTTTTTTTATCTCTTATCATATTTACCCTGCTGGGTGAAGTAACATATTCCAAAGTTTTCTGAATTAGCTTGTTGACATCTTTTCAGGCACTTATTCTGCCTACCACTAAGCCTTTCCCAGATACAAATTATTAGCTGTCTCTCTGGAGCTCTAATATAAAAGAATCAAAAACAGAATCTATTCTCCTCTCATTTATCCACTCATTATGGAATGAGTGGAAAATTTGTCTTTCAAAATTAAATACACAGATTGCTGGTGCAGAATACCTAAAATTACCCTCCCCTAACTCTAAGAGAGGGCCATAGCCAGCTTCTCAAACTCTGCTCCTCAGAACAAGAAGATCTGCAGCTTCAACATCATCTGGGAGTTTGTCAGAAATGCAGCCTCTGGGCCCACTGGAGACAAGAATTTGCATTTGACATTCAAACTTTGGTGACTTCCAAAGTGTAGTGACTTGTATGCACAATGAAGTGGACAAGTACTGGTCTACAATAGGTGTTTCCACCTTATCACTGTTGACACTCGGGGCTGGATAATTCTGTGTATTGGGTGCGTTCCTGTGCATTGCAGGTGTTTAGCAGCCAATTCCAAACATCCCCAGGGCCAAAGTCATCTCTGTTTCAGAACCATTGACCCCAAATCTCCAAACTGGAAGTGTTCTGACTGGTTGCAATCAAAACTCCATCCCTTCCTTGGCTCATTCCTTTGACCACAATAATAAATCCCTCTGTGCCCCATTTCTGCATTGCATTGGAGAAGGTAGTTTCTCAATGCACTACTTCATAAGATGCATTTTCTGTGAAACATACACTTGACAGTTGTTACATAGTACTAAGCTGAGCTATGGTGCTTGAAATCTAAATGTATCTCTTATATTTAGTAAACATTTTATGATGAGGAACCAAATAGCAGCTCTTAACTTGTGATATAACTATGAAATTCCTAATCGTTTTGGCTGAACAATCATAAAGCCTAGGAGTATAGTGCCCAAGGTTTTATAGCAAAGTAACAAATATCTCCCTTCCTAAAGAGGAAAATAGTGATTTTCTAGGGATAACAAGGGTGCATCTCACTGTAACTCAATGCTTTGAAGACCCAAAGACCAGTCAGACAAATTTCTCAGAATAAGACTGATTTTCAATTACAGTTTACTTTTAATATCTTTCTGCATTGGTTACAGGTATTCAGCACAATGGTCAGACAATCATAAACTTTATATACTGTTCTGGCCCCCATGCCCACCATGTCCTGCCTGGTATTTCCAGTACCCAAGTGGCCTCACACATAGTTATTACATATGATGAACTATGCTTCTTATGCTGTGCTTTACATTCCTGAGACTATTCTCTGACTGCCAATTTGTACTTCTAACTCTCTTTACCTTTTTCTCTCAGTCTCTCAAACCACTTCCCCTCTGGCAAGCACAAGCCCACTCTCTGCGTCTATGAGACTGTGCCCATTTTGTTTGTTTGTTTATTTTGTTCTTTAGATTCCACATACAAGTAGAATCATATGGTATTGTCTTTTTCTGACTGGCTTATTTCATTGAGCACGATACCATCCAGGTCCATCGATTCAGAAACTTTAACACAGAGTTGAGATTAGGTGCTGGGAAGTGTAGATAGATGTCAGGAAGCAGGGCAGTTAATGGAGAAGGACTTATCAAAACTGTACTCAGATGGCTTATTACATAGTCTCCTAGGAACAGAGGATCAGCAGGGAAACTCCCCATTCTGTCCATACCAGTGTCCCCAAGGGGAATTCTGTGCCTAGAAGTTAGAGTGCCAAGAAGGAAATGTGCTTAATTAGCAGACCTGGAGAGCTCTAAGTAGCCCCTGAACTGCATGCAGCATCTCAGCATGTGCAACCTTTGGATGGAGAAACGTGGCTGTTGCTCTTGGAGTCCTGAATCTGGCAGGGAGACCATTGGTTGACCACTCCTTGCTGTTTTGTCTGGGACAGTTTCAGTCTCTATCATCAACCACCCAGGGAAGATTTTGGACTCCCTCAGGGAAGCCTTCTTGTCAGAGTTCCCATGCAGGTGAGTCTGAGAGCCCAGCAGACATGGCAGGAGAGGATCAGAGATACTAGAAACCAAGAACTCGACCCTGAAATCACCTGAGAACCCTTCCAACATAGCCCAGATAGATACCAGTGATCACTGTGACTGCTGGCTGGCTTTACTAATAAATGAATGTTTATTCATGATGTGAAAAGGAAA